TACGTCCCTGTCTGAGCACTGGTCCAGGTTACGGGAGGAGCAGCCCATCTCAAGCTCAAGCCGCATAAGTGTCATATTGCGCAGCGCGAGGTTAGGTACCTAGTCCACCGCGTCAGCGAGGCAGGGGTGCGCACCGACCCGGACAAGGCACGCGCCGTAGTGGAATAGCCACGGTCGAGGAACCTGATAAAGATCAGGTCATTATTAGGGCTAGCCACTTATTATCGTATATTTGTGAGAGATTCAGCGAGATTGCACGCCCCCTCACCCGACTCACTCCGTCCAACGATAAGAACCCCTATCATTGGACGGAGGCCTGCCAGACAGCCTTCACCACCCTGAAGGACCACATCACCTATACCCCCACCCTGGCTTTCCCTGACTTTTCCACATATTTTATTTTGGACACCGACACCTGCAGCAGTGGGCTGGGCACTGTGTTGTCCCAGGTGCAGGATGGGATGGAGCGGGTCATCGCATACACCAGCCGGACCCTGAGCGGGGCTGAACTGAATTATTGCATGACCCGTCAGGAACTGTATGCCGTGATTTTCGCGTGTGAGCCGTTCCGGCCGCATTTGTATGTCGCATGCGCACTGACCATTATGCTCTGCAGTTCCTCCTCACATTCAAGGAACCGCGGGGACAGATGGCCCGGTGGCTGATACAGCTGCAGCAGTGTAATAAAGGACTCCTTCACACTTCGTTGTTCTCCGTGTCCTTTATTGGGTTCTTCCACGTACCCGCCGTTCCTCGTTCCGGCCTCGCCTTCTGTACGTCCGTGCGCCCCGCGCACGCTCCCCTGTGGCTCTCGCCCACGCCGTCACCTGGCTCCCTTCCGTGTGCTCTCCCTCACCCGGCCCGGCCACACCGCCCTTTGGGTACTCCGCATATGCTCCCTTCTGTGTCTCTCTCCGTGCAATCCCGCACGCTCCCCAGTCTGGCCGCTCCCCACGCACTATGCCTTCCCGTGGGCGCCTATCCCTTCTCGACCACGTGGCAATGGCGCCACGGCTCCTTCCACCCTCCTGCGTGGATCCCTCTTTGGTTCTGACTCTCTCCTCCTTCTCCTTCCGGCCCTCCTCTTATATCCCGCTCTCCCACGTGACCCAACTCCACCTTCCATCCTGCCTCTGCCTCTGCCCCCCCGTTCACCCCGCTCCCATTGGAGCGAGGCGAGCAGTGGCCCCTCCCACACACTCTCACTACACCGGCACGTGTGAGCGGTGTGGAGGCCGGCAAGCACCCTGTCCTTGCTCGCATTACAGCAGTATAACCTGCAGATCGAGTACAGGGCTGGACAAACGCACGCAAACGCGGATGCATTGTCAAGCGAACCCACGGTGTGCTCCGAGACACGAGTTGAGGAGGCCGGCCCGTGCGTCATGGGGGGACACTACTGACAGGCAACGGCCCCCCTGGAACGCCCTAAGACTAATCCCCCTCCCTTGAGAGGGAGTGCTGCGTGTGCCACAGAGGTCCTTGCGGTTGCAGCCGGGGGCCTGGTGGGCCGCCCGGCGGGCACGGAGCCTGCACCCAGGAGCCCGATGGGCCGCTCGGCCCCGCCCGGTCAGATCCAAGAGCACGTCGGCTGTGCGTTCCCGGGCCTGGACGATGAGCAGCTGCGACAGGCCCAGCAGCGGGACCCGGACCTGGCTGCAGTGGAGGCAGCCTTGCGGGAGGAAAAAGTCGCCAATCAGGGACCCTGGAGTGGTTTGTACGACCGGTTGTGTGCAAAGAACGGGGTGGTGTGGGAACTAACCGAACCTGGGCAGTCAGGGTGCATCTATGTTCCCGCCCAGGTGCGGCCCCAGCTGCTACGGTTGGTGCATGACCACCCGCTTGGGGGCCATCATGGGCAACGGCGCACTTAGGAGACCCTGCGTTGCCAGTATCTCTGGCCAAAACTGATGCTAGATTTGGCCACCTGGGTACAGGGCTGCTGCGCTTGTCAACAGTGTGGGCAGAAACCGGCACGGTATCAGGTGCCCCTGAGGCCATTCCGCATCAGCCAGGCGAACCAGCTAGTTGGGGTCGACCTACTTGGGCCATTCCCACGACCCCACCGAGACAACTGGTATATTTTCGTAGCGGTAGAGTATTTCACGAGCTATCCAGTGGCAGTGGCAATCTCCGATAAGATGGCCGTTGGGGTCGCCCGGGCATTTCTGGAGCATTATGTGCTTAAAAATGGGATCCCCCAACGAGTCGTTACTGACCAGGGTAGTGAGTTCGAGGCAGAGCTATTTCAGGCACTGTGCCGGGAGTTTGTAATCCAGAAGGACAGAACCATGGCATACCACCCCTAGGCAAATGGTATGGTGTAGCACATGAACCAGACCCTAGCTGGGAAGCTCAAATGTATGGTGGCCGCCAATCAGCAGGATTGGGACAAACACCTCGCCTACACAACCACGGTGCATACCTCCACTGGGCAGACCCCCTTCCTAATGATGTTTGGTCGGGAGTCTCGCCTACCAGCAGATCTGTTGTTCGGTGTTCCCCCACCACAACCGGAGGAAGGGAGCCAGCCCGTGGAGCACCTGATGGGGACCCTGCGAGGGGCCCGTGGCCGGGCCTACCAAGAGGGGGAGGCCGCACATCAGCGGCAGGAGCAGGGCACCGCCCCTGTGTGGAGCCCCCCTTCTACTCGGCGGGCTCTAAGGTGTGGCTGCACACCCCGCGCGTAGGGGTCGGACAGGTGGGGAAGCGGCAGATCTCCCCCTGGACTATACTGATCCAGGGCGGGGAGAGGGGCCGAGAGACGGTGGTCAATGTCCGCCGACTAAAACCTGGTCGAACACCATATGAGACTAGGCTATAAGATAAGCTGTCTCTGGTGTGGACCAATCAGTTTCAAGGGCAATGCATAAATTATCGGATTTTTTTTTGCATTTGACTGAAAGTATTGTGGTTAATGTAAACACGATTCCTTACAAAAGGTGTCAGTTTTGTTGCCAGAAAAAAGGGGAATAACCCTGTTAGTTTAATACTTCTCTTGTCCATATGCATTTGTGCAGATATGTTTTTTTTGCGGTTAAGCCATAGTCCCCACACACCGCTCATATTAATGCGGATAAGAGGAGCGGCGACCCACTGCTCTGTAGAGTAACATTGGTATAAACGCTTGTTACAATATGAACAGCGCATAAAAAAACGCGTACTATTTTATATACTGCTTCAAAGTGTTCACAAATCCACACTGAGAAACACGATGATTGACAGAGGGGTGTAATTTATTTTTCCGATAGTGTATTTAACAGGTACTGCAGGTAAGTAGTTTCCAGTTTTAAAGGCATAGTTTAACAAGACAACACTTGCCACCATCCTTCAAACCCATTAGTGAAAAGGAGCAAAGTTTTTATTTACGTGATAATGTTTATGCGAGAGCCGGGGGCTTATGGGACCCCGGGTCCCGCCATAAGGTTCACATGCTGGGTACCATAATGGTGGGGGCCACCACGGTCCGCTGGGCTCATGGGGCCCCAAACTGCCCCACAACGAACCCCGTGGTCTTTATGAGCGTGTCGGCAGACTCGGGCCCGCTCGGCAGATTCATGTTCAAGCTGCGGGAGGTGGTGAGGGTAAGGGGGCAGCCGGGGAGGGGGGATGCGGGTAGGGGTGGGGATGAGGTTTTATTTGTTTTATCTGAATCGGTTGCGGAGCACAGACCCACAGGTCCAAATTGCCCAATGGCCAGCAACACACAGTACTCCTGAAGGTGTAATAGATAATGATTAACACGTTTCTTGTACAAGAACTTGGGAAGAGAGGCAATTGGAGGGAATTCTTAAGTGGAGCAGTGCGAGGTAAGACGGAGAGAAGTGAGGTGACCTGTGGGTGGGTATAAGTGGGTGTTGTGACCTGCAGTGTGGTGGTTGGACACAGTTTTGACGATATGAAACTGTCTGGTAGATAGTTCTTAGCATGGGTATAGGAATGAACGAGTGCACGGTAACAGTAACGAGGGTAAGCTGTAGCTATAGAAGAGGGACAAAGAGGCGACTGATGAGCGAGTGACTCGACTCAATCCGTGAGTGCTCGGTCATCAGTTGGCCTCACTATAGCATGAAAGCCTCCTCCTCTCCAAGAGTCTCTCTACTGCTGGATGAAGTTCTCACCAAGTTATCGCCGTCCATTGTGGTCCTGCGATGCCACGATCTGTTTTGCTCTCTGTGCACGAGCTGATCTTGCTCCATCTCCACAGCGGTCGTGCTCCTTTGGTCTGCAGCTCTGTTATCAGTCTTGACGAACTGGTCGTGACGCGTCTTTCACGAGCCCCACTCCTCTTAGAGGTCAATGTGACGATGTCTCGGCCCTGCGTGTGTTCTCTGATCCACGCGTTCCTCTTTCTGCCCCTAAGTGTAATCCTCATCATGGTCTGTCCACTACCGGATGAAGATTAACGTGATGATGTTTCTATCCTGCGTGTTTTCCCGTCAGGATGTAATTCCCAGCGTGCACTGTTCCTACTGCCCTGACCGACGTTAGGCTTATTATCATACTGTACAGTAATTGTTTCGACTGTTTCAGTTGAGAACTGACGTGGTGCACAAGACCGCAGGCGAGCCAGAGTGTGCACGAGTTTGGGGCCGGCCATAAATGACGTCACGCGATTTTGGACGATTTTTGACCCCCCCCCCCTTCGCCACACGACATCACAAAAAGTCAGATCCCCCCTCAAATATGACGTCAAAAAGCTCTGCCCCCCCCCCAAATAAAACATGCTTCACATCGCTTAAAACTATTGTCATTGTAGTGCGTATTTAATGTGCCGCTGCTCTCTGATGTTGTAGGAGAAAACATTTATTAAAAAGTCTATATAATTAAGTAGAACGTGTTGTCTATATTTATTTAAAGTTGCCCATTTTGACGTGACGTCACATTTCTCAAACCCCTCGTCACACATCGTCATAAATGTCTGACCCCCCCCCCCCAGGTGCGTGACGTCATTTATGGACGGCCCCTCTGCTAACAGCCTGTGTAAGCTACTCGGGGAATTGTTGTCTTTGTGTGTGAGAACGTGTGACTGTGTGTGTCTGTTGCGTGCACGTGTGTGTAGCGGTATTGTAGCGGTATTGTAGTGGTTATCGCTGCACTATGAACCTGGATACAAACCGAGTTTGATTATCTGAACCGGTCCTTGGCCTCCCCCCTAGGTCGACTCCGCCTTAAATTAGTTATAACGAAACGATGTCCGACGGGAAATTTTCCCCAAAAAAATAATAATAGGAAATGGGGGCGGGGGGGACCTTAAGAGAGCAAACATTTCCTATGCGACGAAAAGCGGAGCAATTTCTCCCATAAACAATGTAATACGGTAGGAATAGGGACGGTAACTTAGGGAAATGTGTTTCATACCTAGCAACCGATTTACGTACTGTCCATGCACAGTATTATACAGGACATTTTAAACAGCATGTATACGTATCAAACGCATATCTATTTTTGTGGATATTTGAAAGAAGCCCTATACACGTTAAAACTTTTTTTTTCCATACAAAACGTGTTTCTGACATTTTTCAGCCATGACTCAAACAGAAAGAAATTTTAGTGTAAAAAAGCACGGAACCTTTAACAGCATTTTTAAAAAAGATTGTACCTTAACCTATAATTTTTATGATCTTATCTTATGAGTGGATGATTTGTGCTTGATTGGCTTGATTGGACAAGGTGTTGTGAGAGCATTATGCCAATTACAATGAGCTCTCGATCCGCACAACGTGAGAGAACACGATGGGACTGAGAAGCGGCAGAATGGATTCTGCAGATGGATGCTAAGATGGCGGCGGCGCGCGCGTGAAATGCGAGTTCTACGTTTTTCTATACCAAGCTGAGCTCGAGTCGAAAACGACGACGCACTTGCGGGGATCTTTTATGTTGGTTTCCTCAAAAAGTCAACAACGTGAGTGTGAAATAACGTATATTGTGGCGACGTATATTGGGGACCCCCTTGTAAGTATTATATTTGATATATTACATTATTTGAAAATTATTCAGTTATTTTTCACGTAAATTTTTTTTTTCAAAAGTAGAATGTTTTAGGGATGAAACATAACTCAGCTTTTAACATAAAAGTCAATATGAAAATGATGATCATTTAACGAGTATTCGCTTACCGAGCAATTTTTGCGGAATGTATCTTGCTCATTAAGCCAGATGCGCCTATACTTTCATACTGACCCTCCTAATATACCACTCAAGACAAATGCATTGAAACTTTCCCCTATTTTTTCATTGCGAGACAATCTTCAACCCTACTGGGGACACACGTAGGCCAGGAGGAGCTTGACCTCGTTGTGGATGATGACGGGTTCAGGGTGCATGTTGTCCGGGAGACGGTGGGCCGCCGTCATTTCCCAGGCATCTAAAATAACAACAGGCAACCCCGCCATGAGACGGCGCATGATGAGGTCCAGTTGAAGGGAGAGCCAATCGGACTGGTAGACCGAGTGGTAGCTGATGTTGGCTGACTTAAAGACGACCAGCGTCCCGGGGGCTCGCTTCAGCAGGCGGACGACCGCGGCGCGAATGCCCCTCATGCGAGCGATGTAGAGAGACACTGGGAACCCCGTGAAGTGAGCCCACACGCTGATCCCCACCACCGTGTCCTTCCCACCTGGGTTGTAGGACACAGACACGGACGTGAGAGAGAACACGGTCACACACAGCAACGCAGACAGAAGGGCGTTTCGAGGGTGTTGTAGCACTGTTCATGGAAGTGCGAGGTTGGCTGATGAGAACCTGGTTTACCAAATCCCTGGGGTTTTCAAAATATCGGCCCCAACGTCACAATGTTAGAATAGGTCACGGGTGTTTTTGCCCTTCTGGCACGGTTAAGGAACGACAGCTGCTTTCCATATTTGTTCTTCAGCTATGTTTTAATCTATGGTACAAGTGTAATAAAACGGGTCGACGACAAGGGCCTGTGTCTCCATCTCTATATTTCTTCGTTATGGACAGCTCGCGTTCCGCTCTCCCAGTCACTCCACGGCACGTTGCGGAACGAATGTCCCGCTTCTGCGCCGCTCTCGCGCTTCCCGCTCCTGTGCACCGTTGGCAGACGGCGCGCTGGGAGCCGTCTCCGCGCTGCCACGTGACCGCTGGCTCGCGGAGACTCCCGACGTGGTCCAGCTTCCAGCTCCCACCAACTGACCCCGAGCCCCTTCCGGCTCCCCTTTATATCCTCTTTCCACGTCACCCAGACTCCGCCCTTTGCCACACCCCTAAGAACCTTCCAGATAATACCCCTCCCGTAACGCCCCCCGGCTCTGCCCTGAGACCCTGCCCCCGATGCTTCGTGGCGCCTGATTGGCTTTGGGGGCTGGGGCGGCATTACACAAGCACACGCAAAATTTGGTGTGACAACATTTCATTCAGAAGAACCTGCTGCAGTGAGGTAATGTATTAATATACAGGCACTCCCCACGTCATAAATCAAATCGTCGTAAATCGGACCCTATTTTCCTATCATCAGCACAATCCATGGGCAGATAGCCATCGGCAGATAGCCTGCATGTGTCTACTGCACATTTTGTCATTTCTTTACACTTTCCTCTGTCTTGTGCCAATATGCTTAAGCATCTTTCTGGCACCAATCTCCTATGTCATCAGCTATTCTCTGTTAGGTCTTCCTCTCTTTCCAGTTCCATTTTTCCGAACGACATACTTTTAATTGTCCTGCTGTTGTTCGTCCTATATATGTGTCCAAATAGTTTCAGTTTCCTTCTGGTGACTGCCTTCATCACGTCTTCTTTTATGTGCAAACTTTTTCTTACTTCTACGTTGGTCACTCTTTGGGTCCAGTTTAGATGCATTATCCTTCTATATCAATATAATTCAAATGCCAATATCTTATCTCTGTCAGTCTTTTTAAATTTCCAAGTCTCGCAGGCATACAATGCTGTACGGTAGACACATGTGCTTCCCCAGATGTGATTTAATTCTGTCATTATTCATTTTGCCTTTGCTATCCTCACTCTCGTGTTTTTCGTGTAGTTTTCCCATGTCTGCTGCTTTCTTGTATTACTTTTTTCTCGATATCCTCCCTGTTGTATCTATGCCATTTATATAAAAAAATATATATTAAGAGTGATATTGCCTATTCTTAATGTAATCGTTATTTTCTCTCTCATATATCTGGATTTAGCTCGTTCTAAAAAAACGCAGTAACGGAGGCCTGAGAACTCCTCCCTTGAGACAACAAAGGCCAAAGGAGCGCCCCCTGCTGCTTCAGCAGTGTTCCTCACACAAAAGAGACATGGAGGTTAATTATCCACTGGACTTCGCTTGGAAAAGTTGTAAAATTGGATTGAACAACACCCCATAGGAATATTTTCAAACATCACACTATTAAACGTTAACTTGATAGAATGTATTGTTATTATGATGTAGTTCAGCTCAAAATATTTAATCTGACTATTTTGTTTATTTTCATGAACAATTACTATTAGGCTATAAGGTCTGGGATAAGCAGGTAAAACTTAATGATAATGCAAGGAGTGATCCAGGGAATTCCGAGAAAGAAAGGGAGACCCCATGGCAAAAAAAACAATAAACTTGCTGCCCACCCGAGATCAAATACAGGGAAAAGAGACGAGAATGCGTCTCGCCATTTTACTCTCTGAATTATTCTACCCACCCTAATGTATATCACACTGCTATATATTCACTATACAATTACGATACTATATATTACTTTGTACATTGTATTAAGCATATAAATGTTATACTATTTGTTATTATACACTGTACCATTGTGTAATATAACAATGTATAAGGTCTTTGGTTCTTTCGGTTAAGTCACGTCTAAAGATAAAATAATAAATTAAAATAAAAGCATATTACGACGTTTCGATTGCAACACAAGCAATCATCATCAGGCAAAAAAGGAAATAGCAACAAAAATCTAACACAAGGACACACAGTGTGTCCTTGTGATGTCTGTCTGCTTGTATGTCTGTCTATAGTTTTCTAGTTAGATTTTTGTTGCTATTTCCTTTTTTGCCTGATGATGATTGCTTGTGTTGCAATCGAAACGTCGTAATATGCTTTTATTTTAATTTATTATTTTATCTTTAGACGTGACTTAACCGAAAGAACCAAAGATTAATTCCTGCAGTCACGAAAGCTCCATAATTAAGAATGTATAAGGTATAGGGTGATGTATAGTAATACAGTATATAATTTAATGTTGGGTTTGTCTATGGCAGCATATAGTACGGGGTAGACCTGTTTTATGTAAGGGAAAAAGTTTAGCTGGAAGCATATTATATTTTTTGCGACATAGAATTGTAATGTATTACTTACTGTTAGTAGCTCAGCTTATTGGAGAGTATATTTAGTATACTGATGATACTATGAAGTTTATGCTTCAGTTTTTTTTACGTGGTTGTTTGGTTGCTGCAGCTGCATACTATTCACATTCCTTCCCTTTGTTGGTGCTGCCCCTCCCCCTGCCCCCTCCCTTTGATTCTGCTAATCCTGCATAATGCATGGGCATAATATGACTTTGAAACCCCCCCCGCCCACCTCCCACGCATTTCACAATTAGCACTATTCCATTCCTGCATTTCCCATAAATATGCTAAATTTCTCTTCAAATGCAAATTCTTTTGTCAAGGCTCTCTTCCTCCTCCCTCACAGCTAAATAGACACTCCAAGCCTAAGACGTGTTATTTAGACTCTGTCTTATCGACAGCCATGTTCTTCACCTGAGGACGGCTGCTTGCGTTGTGGCCGAAACGTCGTGAGAATTATTTTATTATGTTTTATTTTTATTATTTTATTACTTCCCTTCTACGTGACTTTACCAAAAGAACCAAGAATAAGGAATGCAATCTCAGATTTTGTGTCGATTTCCGCAAACTTAACCACGTTCCTTCGGAGTGGGCAGGTAGGAACTTGGTTGGACAGCGCATTCGTGCAATCCGTGTCACGCGGCGCAAGCTGCGTTGGGCGGCGCATCACATGGTGCTGGGCCCACCCGAGCGCTCTATGAAATGCAAATCGAGGGCGTGGCTATGCACGACAGACAAATAATCCCTGGTGGGCAGTGTGGAACCTGTTGTTCCTACCTGTATAAGGTGTCTGTGGCTGATGCGCACACCCTCTTCCACGGATGGATGACTCTCTCGATGCGCTGTCGGGAGCGCGGTATTTTTCGACTCTCGACTTGTCTTCCGGGTTTTGGCAGTTACCCCTGGACGACTCTTCGAAGCCAAAGACCGCGTTCCGCATGCCTCAGGGGCTCTTTCAATTCAACTGTCTTCCCATGGGATTAAATTCCGCTCCCGCCACGTTACAACGCTTGATGGAGCTCGTTTTGTTCCAGGCGTGCTCGCAGCATACAGTTTCGCCCCGCATGATTTTGCCGGATTTCCCCGTTCTTTTTAATGTATGGACTCACCAATTGATGTGCAGCTCAAACCACTGGAAAATTGTACTAAGATATCGAACCCCATGCCGCTAGGGAGGCGTCTTGGGGGAACTCGGCCTTGCGGCAGGCGGCCAACGAACGGCTCGTCAAGCCCCACCATTCCACTACCGTATGGACGCCAGGGGCAAGGTATGGCTCCACTGCCCCCATGTCCCGATGGGTACCTCCCTGAAATTACACAAACCATGGCAGGGGCCGATCGAAGTGGTGGAGGTGAGGAGTCCGCAGTGCATGCAGATTCAGTGTGGTCGCCGCCGCTGGTTTGTGTACCTGTTATGGCTGAAACGTTTGTTTCCACCTGCCATTAGTCTTTCATCTCCACTTCCCGAGGGCCGGGTGTCTGGTCAGCCCGATGAGCTGGGGCGCGCGTCGGCTGACTTCCTTCCTCAGGGCAGTTCTATTATTCCGCCCGCAGTGTCCAAGCGCCTAACGGGGCCAACGTCGCCGGTCGTACCGGCCCGGGGGGAACGGGGGAGTCCGGAGCCACCATCGCCCGACCTCCTACCACATGGGGGTTCTTCGGCTCAGGAGGTGCTGTGCTTGTGGAGCCATCTTCTGGCTGCTCCCGAAGCCTCCAGTGGACCCGCTTTTTCCTCGCTTGACGGCCTGGCATCAAGGACTCGGGCAAAGATAGCTTAATTTAAATGACCATCCTCCCGTGTCAAAATGCACCTACACCCGTGGCCCGTGGCCGCCACTTGAGCCAGATGGGTCAATGGCTGACCCGGGCTCATCTTCTGCTAGAGTGCGGTGTTGCATGTGCGAGGTGTAGTTGTGGCCTGACCGGGGGGTGGCTCGTCCATTGTAAATGGTTGCAACTAAGTTTTTTTTTTCTCTTCTCTCTTCCTCCCACTCTTCTTCTCTCCCTGTTCCTGTATATAGTGTATATATCGTTTCTTCCTCGGTCGGGATTATTTATTGTTGTTGTTCTCTTGTTGCGTTATAAATTGGAGGTCCACACGTTGTGTTGGTTATATGTCGGTCAGCCGAGACGGCTGAGTTTCATAAAGGGAGTTGGGTGATGGAGAGACGTAAATAGTGTCTCTATTGCAGCAACATCTGCAGCAGACATCGTGCTGCTCGCAGCAGACATCGCGGCTATCGCGATTTTCACCTGAAGACGATGGCTTGTGTTGCTATCGAAACGTCGTTATTTATCTCCAATATCTTCTTCTGTGCTA